TCAGCTATTTTAGGAAGAATCTACACAATCCTAACACAAAAATCAATATTTGATAAGAAAATAATTCACTGTGTTCAGAGCTGAGCAGTCAGCAACAAGAACTTCAGGTTAGCAGTATTTTACTGAACTGTTCAAATGCACAGGAATATTAGCTAAGAATAAAAATAAATATCCTTACTCTTTCTCCTCCTCAGATACCCTTCCCTCTCTCTCTTTCTCTCTCTCAGTCATTTCTGCTACCAAATGTTCATTGGAGAAAGTTAGAAATACATGGAACAAAAACCTTAATCCATAGATAACAAATTATGGAGCTTTAAAGAAAGCTCAAACCTTCAATCAACCATAAACCTACAGCTGAGGCGCATACAGCAAAAAGCACTTTTTAAGAATTATCTGGACTGTATCCAGGATGGCTAAAGTAATGATCAAAGCAAATTACATGTGCTAGAAGTATGGCATACTGAAGGCTAATCTAACACACATGTTTAGGGAAAGTCTATTTATAAATTCTTGGCTGAAGCACTTCAAAGGACAAATCTGGCCTTGATCAGCCATGTTTACATGGGTTCTAGAATGTAGGGGATCCGTGACATGCCTGTTAGTAAACCTCATAGGGACATTCTCTATTTAGAGCTAATTTAATAGCTCAGAAGGCTAATCCTTTAACAACAGAAAACATCTATGGTAAGCTTAGCCATTAGACTTTTGAAGATAGATCCCAGACTGAAGTGGAGCTATAATGAAAAGACTTCAGTTGGTTTTAGATAGAGTCCTTGCAGACTGTCCTTCTGTGTAAATTATCAGGGGGATAAATGTAAAGGAATATAGTTAGACAAGGTTATTTGGGTAAATCTGATATTTTATTAGACCAACTCAAATAGCTGGAAAAATTCTTCTTAGCAAGCTTTTGGGTTTAAATACCTTTTGTCAGGCTGAGGAAGCATCGGCAAGTGGTGTATGCTCTTCCTGGATGGAATGGATGGTAAAGAAGCCAGAGACTAGTATGCATGCAGGAAAGCCAGTCAGTGAAGTTGAAGAAAGCCAGTCAGTGAACTGTATAAGGAATATGGTTGTTTCTTGATCTTTCATGGACCGGGGGTGGGGCTGGGAGTGGAGGGAAATGTGTCAATATGTAAAACTTATTCCTGTGTTTTAGAAATATAACAAGCCAAAAGGAGAAGCACAGGTAGGTGCTAATGAACTTCAGATATTGTAACTGGATTGCCATCTTGGCTCTGGCCATTCCTCAGAGATTGTCCATGTGGCTGTTCCCCTGTATTGTCTCCAAGCCTTTGCGCTAGACTGGTGATTTTTAAACTGTGTTCTATGGAACCTGGTTTAGAGTTTCTGCAAAGAGATTAGGGATAATGGCAGAGTGGGTCGGGAGGTGGTATGACCCCTTTGCCAGGCTGGGTTGCCTGGATCTGCATCAGTTCATACAGCCTATAGAGCCAGGGGTAGGAGTTCCACAGCAGAATTGATATGAAAGGGCACTGTAGTGTCAGGAAGTTTGAAAACCACTGCCCTGGATCATGCAGAAGATCTTTCTGGATGGAAAGGGCAGGGCCAGTAGCCACCTTACCACCTCTGTGGGCAGTGTGCAGACTGTATTTACTTCTTCTGTACAGCTTATGCCCCTTTTGGGACAGCAGGCAGTTCCTGGGGCAGCTAACAGACAGAACCAGCTTGGCTGAAGCATTGGGCTAGGGACAGACATTCAAAAAGCCTGAGCCTGAATTGATTCAATCTTTGTAGGTTAGTCTACCCTGGCTGGGCTGAACTAGTTTGTAACTGGACAGATGTTCTCTCTGGACTGAGGAAATGCAGTCACATGCCTGCTGTGGCTCAGGCTAGAAGCCAGGGACACTAAAGCAGCCCTCCTTTCCCTTCGACAGAGCTGAGCTGACGGGGGGCATGGCCACAGGGGGCTCTGATTAGGGAGGGGAACTCCCTCTCCTGCAACCCAGAAGGGAAAATTTATCACACCCAACTCAGTGTTCATCACCCCGTTAAGAAAACAAAAAAGGGACATTACCAGCTACCTGTCCTGTCTTTGTCCAGCTTGGAGGTAGCCAGTACAGTATGTGGTCTGCTAGCTAATGCTGAGAGGTGTCTGTGAGGGACAGGGGAATGCCTGCTTAGCAAAGAGTGGGGAGGGCAGGTGGAGAGCAGAAGTCAAGCAGATGCCTGCAGAGACTGCTGGAGATGCAGCCAGGGAGCAGGGGGGGAGGGGCCAGCCCTGCTGTGGAGCAGAGAGCCCCTTCTAGCCCAGAGAGCATGCCAGGGTGCTGGGGGAGTCTGGTTTATCTTAAACCAGCAAGGGATCTGGGACAGACATTGCATAAACTGGTTTGACCCAAATCAGTTACATCTGATACTACATTCAACCAGGTTTATCTCAACCTGGTTTCAGCCTTCTCAAACTGGTTTATGTGCACTGAACATCTGGTCCATTACAGGTTTAAACCAGTGTCTGATCACTTAAACTGGTTTATGTGTAATGTCTGTCCCTAGCCTTGCTGGTAGAAGGCAAGAAGGGGATGGGGAGGCAGTGAGTCTCTCTGTGGTAGGTCCTGGCAGGTAGCAGACCCCTGAGATGCCTGTGTGGTTGGAGGCAGACACGGTGCATCTGTGGCAAGCCTGAAACTAATGTTTAATTACACCTTGTGGCCTAGTCAGTGTAATGCACCAGCAGCCCTTAGGAAGATGATCTCTCTGCCATTCCTCTGCTAACAGTATCTCTATTACTTGCAAAAGTTGTATTGCTCATAAAAAAGACTTCTACAATTAATTACAAAGCATACACCACTCAGATTATTTGCGTTTATCTGCCATCAGACGTGTAGTGCTACATTTTGTCTTGCATTAAAGCAAATGCTGTGCTTTTTGCACACTTGTTACATTAGATATTCATCAGTTTGTCTTTCTGAGATGCTCTGAAATAAGACTTACAGATTTTTCTTCACTGCATCTTTCATGTCCCACCATCGTCTGTCTGTTTATCTTACTTAAGTATACTTTGAATTGTTGTTGACACTGCCTTCAGTGGTGTTAGGAATTCCCTTTACCACAAGGTGTCACTATGAGCATTGATTTGGGGGAGCAGAGAGGGCTGGGATCAAGGAATAAAAACCTGGGTGGGAGACCCTTGGGATTTCTTCCCCAGCACATTTAGCATAGTAGTGCCTTTGTCTTGATTTTTTGCCACAGTGTGTAAATCACTTGTCCTGAGAAAAAGACCAATTCTGAATTATGGTCATGGTTCAATCTTGCATTATTTATAAGGGAAGGAACTTTTAGGTGTCTTTTCACTTGCCACTTGTCTCAAACTGTTATTTTGTTCATATTTTACAATACGTGTTAAAAAGAACACTGGCAATCCTTTATAATAACAATAGCATTTTCTCCTTGTGTGCCTTGAGTTGAAAACTGGTCTGGAAAGGAATCTATGCTGAAACAAACAAATTGTAGTTCATCTTAAATGTTGTGCACTTTCTATGACTTGCTGTTCTGTATCTGCATCTAATATCAAATCTTCAGTTTTTACTCTGACTATACTGATTTATGTTACCTTTGACATAATTTAAACACAATTTCCTTTGAATTTTCCTTGAATGGCACCTTTTAAGCAAAGTATGATTGAAGGCTTTTCCTAGTCTCTTACCTATTTCAGCTATCATTTTTTGCAGTTGTTGCCTATCAGTGAGGGAGTATTTCTCTCTATGGTACCAGTTGCCACCACTCAGGAGCAGTGCATCATCGTATTGTAGAAAGTTTCCATTCGATTGGTGCGATAAGCCAAGCTCTGATCAACAAAGCAAATATTTTTAGTGGCAGCTTGTCACTTGTGTTGCTTCAAGCAGTAGTTGCTGTGACATGTGAACCTGGTTTGCCAGGTCAAACTAATGAGTCTCCATTATTATTGTATTTTCAATTTTTAAAAAAAATCTCTTTTGAGGCTGTACCGTAGTGAACAAGGCATGGCACTATGACCTCTTAGTAGACTTTACCTTTTGTGTTCAGCTGTTTAGAGCTTGAAAATGGCTTTCTACGCACCGTGGGTTTTCAGTGCCATCAGCAAGGAGGACGAATCCTTTCTGCAGAAGGATCAGGAAATCCATTTGGTGAAAAAGCTCAGAGAAGCAGTGGTGCACTGGGAAGGATTTCTACTGAGCCAGAGGCTAAATGTTTAAAAGGGGAAAAGTAGGGGGTGAAAGGGAAAGCCTCTTTTCCTATTAGAAACAATTAAAATGCCCATGAAATATTTCTTTATTGAATAACAAGATCTGCTATCTTTAATAGTTCAGAAAAGAAGTATGATTCTGGCACTGGATGGCCTTCATTTTCTGAGGCCTATGGAACATGTGGCACAAATGAAAGCAATACCAATATCATGAGGCGTCCAGATAACTCATTGGGATCAACCAGCACGGAGGTCCTTTGTAAGCAGGTATAGATATACCTTGGAGACTACACAGAATTATCTTTTGAATATTTTCTCCTTTCTTCATCTTTCTATCACCACATGCATATTTAAACATATAACAACATATAGGTTTAATAGGTTAATTTTTCAAAACCACTTGTGATACAGGAGCCAAAATCCTATTGAAGGTCATTTGGACTTAATTTCATAAGTGACCTAGGTGCTTTTGAAAGTGTTTGCCCTGGGTTTTATTTATGCATTTATATAATTTTACAAATGTACTTTTTGCATTCACATGGTTAGCAAGTAGATCTGTCCAGAGGTACCAGGGGAGGGCAGCTATACCACAGAGATGTTTCTTTTCTCAAACATTGGGATACAGAGACATGAGACAAGATCCAACAGTAACATAAAAAAAAAAATTGCTGAGGGAACATCTTGCCTGTGAAGGAGGGGACTAGCACAGAAGGAAAAATTTCTAGAAAAATAGCAGTGAACTGTTACATGTATATCTCGGTTCTGGAGCACGCTGCGTCAGACCTAGGCCCTCTCCAGTACCAGAAGCATTAACAAGGGGATGGACAGATTATTGTCATGGAGGGGTCAAGAATGTTGCGTGCATGGTGCTACAGCAATAGGCCTCGTTTGCACCAAATAAAATAGCAGAAGGAATAGGTGCTCTAAGGAGTGCTTTTCATTGTGTGTTACTGCAAATGTGGAAAAGCTAACTTCCTTTAAGAACCTTGTATTTCTCTGGGTGTTATTGCAGCTTGAGTACTGATAATTTTTTCTATGAGTTTTGTACTGGTCTCCTTATTCTCTGAGTAAAGACATCCCTTTCTCAAGGAAATGTTGGGTAGTTTGCAGGGGTTTTTTTCTCCTTGAGTGGTCAGTCTTGCCTATAGCTGTGGAATAGCAATGTAGAAAGCAAGGTGGTGTCTGATTTCATAGACATCTGTGTCCAAGCAGCTAATAATTAAGATTGTTTTTCTGTTGCAGTGTGATGCCCATCTTGGCCATGTGTTTGATGATGGTCCTATACCTTCTGGTCAGAGATTCTGTATCAACAGTGTGGCATTATCTTTTAAACCAAGTTCAGGCCAGTAAGACGGATCTTTGCAACCTGTGCATTGAAATGAAAGTACCATGGCTTTCCTTGTGCATTGCGGAGAAGATGCAGTGTTAAGTGCCAAAGAAGACTGCACCATGGGGCCCTGGATGCTACTGCACTTTTGTTTCAGAAATATTGCAGATGTTGATAAAAATATATTTATTGTGATTTCTAACCCAAAATGTACATTGTGATGTTTAATTTAGTTTTAAGTAGTTGATGCAATGAATTAGGTTTGACTAATTCTTATAAAAGTAGTTTTTATTAAATACTTTATTCAAAATACTCAGTTGAACTTCATGTTGTTGAAATAAAATGATTTCTGCAAAATGGTTTTGCTCCATTCTTAATATAAGCCTATACATTACTTTTTAAAATAGATCAAAGTAGTTGTGGCCTGGATTTTCCTATGTATAGTTGCATTGCAGCATTAGAATTTTTGCTTCCTTATGATGAGATCATCACATTGTGCTAAAAAGGAAGAAAAAATAATACAAAAATACTAATAAGTTTGTCCATATCTGAGATGCTTTTAATCAAATCAGTGACTGCATTTCTGCAGCCTACTGCTCACAGAAAAGCTCTAAAATGGTGCAATGCAAGCCCAAAATATAATTGCCTTTCCTCCTTCCCTGTGATCCCATTCTGGCATAAGAGAAGCAAAAGGGCGTGGGATTCTGATAGACGTATTCTTCTAGATTTGAATCAGGCTGGTTCGTCAAAGGGAGAAATCTGTGGGCATTTGGGGATAAAAAGTCCTATACCACCTTCTGTTTTGCCATGCCACCCAACTCTCTTCAGGGATATAAACAAAGTATGCAGCACCGATTAACCTTGCTATTTTTCCCAGCTTCAAATTTAGATTTTAGTTTATTTGTCTAAGGGTAGCTCATTCTGGATGCTGTAAGACTAACTCCAGGTTTTGAATCTCTTGTTACAAGTGTAAGTGCTGGTGCTGCTCAGCCAGTGTGTTGTGTAGTATAGGGTTGTCCAACTTTGGTGAGTCAGAGGCCACAGATGGTGTCAGACTCTGATCCATGCACCATACAGATCACATGCTGCAAGGTGGTCCCCCAGGATTAGGGTGTGCTGGCAACATGAAGCCCCCCACCCCTGTTGTTCAGGCTGCACTGGTGGCACACAACACCCCACTGCAGACCCCTAGACCCTATCCCACAGTGCCGCAGCAAGAGAGGCAGCTGCCGGGGCCTGTGGGCTGTGTGGCCTACAGGCCACCATTTGGACAGCCTTAGCGAGACAGTTTTTGTGCGCTTTCTTCCAGAAATCCAGACATACCCACAAATGAGATCTTGCTACTTCCTGAGTCATTTCTGATTCATTCCAGCATGATTCTTCCAAATACTACTCTAACCCTAAAGGGGCTTCCAGCAGTGTGAGAGGAGGGGACTTTTACCATCACATTCAACAGTCCTGAAGTAAACAGAATTTTAAATATGCCTTTTATACTTTTCTGGGTATAAACTTGTACTTGACTTTGTGCAGTACACAATAAAAGGGGAAGAAACCTACAGATATGCTTCACAGTGCATTCATGACTTCAGGTTTCCCCCTCATACACAAAGCAGAGAACGTTGATTCCAGTAAACTACCTGGGATTAAATTCTTCCTTGCTCAGAGTTACCAAGCAACATCAGCTTCACCTGTAAGAGGTGTGTTCCTTTTCCCTTTCTTGGTTGCCTAAGGGACAAGACAGGTGTGTTGGTTTAATTAAAGACTTGCTGCCCAGTGGAATTCTAAAGACCTTAAACAATTTCAAGAAGTGAAGTGTTACTCCCTGTAATAGGAGATGCTGTCCTGCCTTGGGACTGTTTACGGAGTTGTATTTACCAGCAAAAATCTTGTTTATTTTTGGCTTATGAAGCCTTTTGTATCCCTGCCTCCTCCAGGTGATCACATGGAGGGCCCATGTCTCCACCTGTTGACAATACTAGGATGCATGGTTTTATCTGAGTAAAGCAAACTGAAAAGTGATTGTCAAAGTAAGCTGGGGCTGGACTGCCACATGCTGGTAGATCATGCAGGTGCTCTGCCTGAACACAGTAATGATCCAAGGATAGCATTTTGCTTTCAAGCTTAAGTGCCTACAATTCCCCCAGACTCTGTTGAAGTGGAATAGACCATGGCTTGTGCTGTCCTAATGTTGAGTAACGTCTGGCCAGCATAGATTCACACCACTGTGACAATGGCTGCCTATACACCTAGTCAGGGGCAGGAGAGGGTGTTTTAATTAGAGTAGTTCCCGGAGAGTTGCTCTAATTAAAACACTGCATTGTCACATGTATTAAGCCCCCACACATTTAAAAATGGCCGTGGGACACTTTAACTAAAGCACCCCATGGCCATCTTGAAACATAGAGGATGGGGCTGCTTGATGCTGCGGGGATGCTGGAGCGTTTTATTTGGAATGCGGAGCAGAGGTGAGTATTCGAGTGTGCCCTGATGCATTCGAACTGGAATGTGGCAGAGCACATTTATAGGCAGCCAATGGTTTTAACTCATCTCTAGATATTTTGGCATCACATGTGCATACTTTTTGTGGAAGAGAGGAGTCCTTCAGTTCAACTTCGTGTTTCAAAACTGACCAGCTATATGGAAATAAGACACTCTGGGTAGGCATATTAGATTGCCACTCAGCACCACAGTACTTAAGGCCCAGATTCCCAAAGGTATTTAAGTACTCAAGTCCCACTGAAACGGTTGAGGTTGTGAGCTTCATCACTGTCCACATGGCATAGGCACTCAGAGATAAAAGCATCCACACACAGACCACAGACAAGTAGCTTAATGACTCTGGAGAAAGTGGCTGTTGTAGGTTCAGCCCTTAGTGAATTGGCAAGTGGGTGACTATCCCAAAAAGCAAAGGCTGCCTGCGCAAAGAAGGAGTGTGTCTTCTGTAACCGTAGGTGCCATTGTGTCCAACCAGAGGTTTGACTGAGGCAAGGAACAGCTGGTGACTGCCCACTTGTGCTGCAGAATGACCTGAGGGAAAAATAACTTGGCTAAAGTTTATCTTGCTAGTCCTTGTAAATGTCGTTAGGAAGCAGCCACCTTTAGGAACAGTGTCTGAACCGTTTACGCCATTTAAAAAATTGTACTTGTGTGGACAGTTCTGCTAACCATGAAGGTACCACTCCTTTATAAAGTTAAATGTGTGTCAGTTTTTGAAGGATAAGGGCCTTTAATTGCAAGCTTTTTGGAGTCAGGAGCAGTTTTTTTATTGTGCCTGTACAGCACTGCACCACCACGATCTGGATTTTGAGTGAAGGCCTATGTATTACCACACTTCAGTAAGTAATAAGGAGCGAAGGGGCTGCTGTAGTGCAATGTAGTCTATTTATGATGATACTTTTTGTCACAATACCTGCACCCACTTTGTTCTTGCTTATCAGATAAAGGGCAGCAGCTCCTCTGAACTGGGAGCACTCTGAAGATTGACAGCAACATACTGTTCCTCCATTTCCCTGGGAAGAGAAAAGATGTATAAAATTACTTTTTTCAGTAGTTTTGTATTTTTAATCAGAATGCTTTGTTTTTTCCTTTCATTTAGGGTTTCCATAAAGCTATTTTATTCTGATTTTATTTCCTACTTAAATTCTATTTAGATCATTTATCCTCGTAAATCTAGGACGGGGTGGCTAAGTAGCACAGGCAGCCTCTCTGTGTGGTATGTGGCAGATCGGGGAAGGAACAGGGAGCACACTGACAGACAGGGCAGAGTGGAAGACTGAGCAGGGAGCACAGGGCACGGAGCAGAAGATCAGGCAGGGAAAGGTCTCAGAGTGACACTCAGAGAAGGTGCCAGGCTAATTTGTCGCACATCTGCCAAAAAAGTTCACTTCCATTTATCTAGGAGGATCATTTCAAACTAATGTTTACAGCATCTCCGCAAGGCAGGTCACTAGTATCCATTTTACTGAAGGGAAAACAGGCAAAGAGGTTAAGGAATTTGCTCAAAGCCACATGTAGAGACAGCAGCAGAGCCAAGATTAGAACTCAAGTATGCCTGGCGCCTGGCTCCTAGGACTGTGTTTAGATCACTGTCTCTCTCATTCAGTTCTGGTTTAACCTAATTTATTCTGATTTCTAATTACAAAACTGGAAAGTAAAATTAACATGCTCCTACCTTCTTAGCTGGAGTGTCCAAACCAGGGTTAAGCAAAACAGGACAAATGGATGGTACATATGGAATGATACTTACTTGTCCTGTTTGTCGGAGCAAAGGAGGCCCTGGCTTGGATTGGAAATAGGTGGCTGCATGGGGGTCTCTCTGGGCATTTTAAGGAGGAATTGCAGAACCCAGCTTTGGTGAACAATGACTGCAATCCCTAGCAATGCTTTCTACTGCCACATAATCCAAAATGAATAGTTGTTCCTTAAGTTCCAGGTCAGCTTTAGAAGGAGATGGTGCAAAATGACTTGGGTGTGCAATGTCCTTTTCTTTGCAGGAACCATTGATTTTCCCTGGGAAGGAGAGAAGACAAGAAGAAAAGGAATAAGCTGCTCCCATGTTATGAGTAACTGCACTCTCTTCTCTACCGGAAAACCTGAACAAGCAGCAACAATCCCGGTGTGTGTTGCTATGGCCACACCCCCACAGAGGTACTGGGCTGCTCTCCTCCTCCCCTCTACATCATTTGTTTCAGTCCTACTAATGCATTTGGTTTTGAAATATATTGAACTTTTACTGCAAATTCCACTGTCCCAGAATGTCCCTCCAGATGGTAACCTTTTGCTTCACAGTAACACATTTCCAAGGAACAGGATGTTAATGGCATTTAAGCAGGCCCTGGGTTTTTAAGCAGGGCAGCTTCTAGTGCGACTGAAACACACCAGCTAAATGCGGGGCTTCCTACTGTCAGCTTTGCCTTTAAATTCATCACTGGATCTAACAGTTGTTCTTCATTTTCACAGCTGGGTTCATTACAGAGTGAGGTGAAGTCTTTCTACAGCCACATCAGTGTTCAGCACAGAAGAACCCTACCGTAGGATTTGCTGCAGCAGTGCAGACCCACAGCATAAGAAGGCCAGTTGCTTAGTTCTTGAAGTGTCTTGGACATGTGAATTTAGATGGTGAAAACATCCCACTTTTGTTCCTGGTGCATGTGGACTGCACTGGCAGTGTGCGCCTGCTGCCCAGGAGCGTATTGACCTGCCAATCTTCAAACTTCAGCTTCCTATGCAGATTCTGGGAGTCCTGCCACCAAACCCCAGGGCTGGCTCTTATTCTCTGCATTTCAACAGCTGACTTCTGGGGGTCCAGAGCTTTAGGAAATCCTTATCTGGAAAACAGCCCTGAGAATCTTT